ATAACCACAATCAAGCTAACATATCTATCACCTCACAGAATTGTCTTTTTGTGTGTATGTGGTGAGAATACTTATCTACTCTCAGCAAATTTTAAGAATACATTATTATTAACTATAGTCACTATGCTATATATTTTGTTTCCAGAACTTATTCATCTTATAACTGAAAGTTTGTACCTTTTGACCGACATCTCCCATTTTCTCCCATGTCCCCTCCCCTGGGAACATCATTCTACTCTCTGTTACTATGAATTTGACTATTTTTTGGATTCCACATATAGGTGAGATCATTTAGTGTATTTCTTTCTGTGTCTGGCTTATTTTACTTAGCACAAGGTACTTCAGGTTCATCCATGTTGTTGCAAATGGCAATACTTCCTTCTTTTTTAAGGCTGAATAATATTTCATTACATATATATGTTTGTGTGTGTGTGTGTGTGTGTGTGTGTATACACATAGACACACATCACAATTCCTTTATCCAGTCATCCATAAATGGACACTTGGGTTGTTTCCATATCTTGGCTATTGTGAATAATGCCACAACAAATATGGGAGTAGAGGGAGCTCTATGAGGTGCTAATTTCATTTTCTTTGGGTATATACCCCACATATACCCCACAGAGAGATTGCGGGGTCATATGGAAGTTATGTTTGTAATTTTTTGAGGAATATCCACACTGTTTTCCATAATGGCTGCACCAATTTACATTCCTACCAACAGTATGCAAGGGTTCCCTTTTCTCCATATCCTAACCAACACTTGTTGTCTTTTGACTTTCTGATGATAGTCATTCTAACAGGTGTGAGGTGATACCTCATCATGGTTTTGATTTGCATTTCCCTGATGATTAACAATGTTGAACATCTCTTCATATACCTGTTGGCCATTTTTATATATATATGTGTGTGTGTGTATATGGCCATTTGTATGTCTTCTTTGGAAAAATGTCTATTTAGGGCCTTTGCTCATTTTTAAATCAGGTTATTTGTTTTTCTGCTATTCAGTTACATGTGAATATCTTTTAAAATTGAAATTGTTATAGCAGTTTCGTCTTTTGGTAACCAGCTCCCCACCATCCCTCCAGGGAACTTAGTCCAGGTGACTCTGTCTGGGGCCTCTTCTAAGGAGCCATAGGAAATGAAGGACCCAGGGTCCCATTAAGGGGATTCCACAGAGCCAGAATGCCTCAGTGGTTGACAAATGGGTATAATCCAGTTGTCACTATTGGCCCAGGTTTCCTAAACATTTACTAAGGAAGCCAAACTCTTCTGATTGAGGCAATGATAAGCTGATAGCAATGAGCTTGAGAATGGTCTCCCTCTGTTGGTAACAGGAAAAAAAAAAAAAAAAGGGACATCAAACATTAAGATGGGAAACATAAGAGAAAAAGCAATCCAGACTCTTAACAATTGAATAGTGAACTCTGAACTGTCAATTAAGACCCAGGAAAAGAAATCCAAAAGTCAGGATGGTTTGTTTGTTCCCCAAAGAAACTGCACATGCTACCACAGCCAGAAAATGGCTATATGGCACTGTTATCACACAAAAACATCAGAAAACAGAGAAAGTCAGAGCTGGCCATATTCGATATCATGAAAACCATTTAGTTCTGCAGTGCCCTGAGTCTCCCCTTCCTGCAATTTTCTTTTTTTTCAAGTAAGCTGCCCTTCCATTCCTCTATTCCCTCTTTCTGCTCCTCAACTTTTAAGGCACCAAATGATTTCTTGCTCTCTTCCAACCCCATTCAAACCCTTCTCAGACAAGGGAAATGATGGATGAGCCTTAAAGTGGTTCTTTACTCAGGGCGTACTTGTATTTTGTCAGGGGTTGTAGTAGAGCCTCCTTAACATTTTGCTGCCAGCATCCCTTCCTTGGTGTAATTGTCCATTCTCCACTTCATCATATCCTGTCAGCCAAGTCATCCCCCTCGCCTCCACTTCACCATGAATATGTGACACAAGCTGGACCAATATTCCCTGAATACTATGCCTGCGGGTGCATGACCCAAGCAAGATGTGCCAGTTCTGTGCCTGTTCGCCCTCAGGTCCTTTCCTCTGCCTGCCCCTGTTGTGCTCTGTATCACAGGGGGACTGAGCCCCATGGGCTCCTGGCTCAGCTGGCTTCGGCCGCTGCAGCCAAGGGGAGACACTGACGGGAGGCTGCAGGGCAGGAGGAAGGGGAAGGCCAGGGTTCTTTTCCACTCTCTTTTTCTGGGTAGGGCAGGCTGCCTCTCCTTGGTTCCAGCTCCCAACACTGGCCCACCCTGCTTTCATCAGCCCCAGCCCCTGGAAATTCTTCTATCTCTCTGGCCTAAAAGAGGTTTCAACTTTCTCCTTTTGCTAATCTCTGGGTTTCTGCAACATTCCCCATTTTGTCTGTGAGCT